GGGGAGAGTTACGGGTAAAGGTAAAACGTGGGGAGGGGTGAGGTTGAGCTGAAAGGAAAGAGAAATGTGGGAATATACGGTACTATAATTATGCCTCATATAAATGCCCCATTAATTATATCCCTGTTTTAAATTATGGTATATAAATGGTAATTTAGTATACTAAATGTAATTATCTCTAACCTTAAACATTGAGGGTAATATGGTTTCATATGTAGCATAGGAAGGTAAAAATTTCAAAAAAAAAAAGTACTTTTGGCCCAAAAAAAACTTGGCCAAACGGGCTATTAATCACCATCAAGTTCGGTACCAAAGCAAATGAAAAATAAAAATAATAAATTTTGGTGCTAAATTGATCCTCACTAATAATTTGAATTATTATACAAATGGTACTATTGACTTCTTTTGTACACAAGGAAAATTTGCAGAACCTCATTCTTCGGCAAAATCCTGAGCGAGGGCATCTCCAACTTTTATCCCAATTTTTGTCCCCAAAATGGGGATTTCCCCATTTTGGGGACAACTTACTCCAACCATTCCCCCATTTTTTTCCCAAACTTTTTTATATTCTTCTCTCTCTTCTATATTATATTATTATCTTTCATTTCAATTTTATTTTTAATTTTCATTAAACAAATTCCATCTTTTATTTTTATTAATTTGTAATTTCCATAATTAAAATAATTCATAAAATTTTAAATAATATAATTTGTAAGCAATTATTATAGATTGACTAATAATTCAAATAAAAGTGAAATCATTGTGATACAAGATTAATTAAATACATATTACATAACGATAAAATTCATTCGAAATACTAGATAAACATTCAACTTCAACCTCTAGTATTCTCCCATAAATGATCTATTAATGCATTACGAAGTGCAAAATGAGCATCTTTGTCCTTAATTCTCCTATGTCGAAATAAAAATTCTTGAAATCGTTGATTTTCATCTACTGTCATTTCTACATAAAAATAATAAATGCACGAAAAATAATTTATCAAAATTATACACCANATTAAATTATAAAATAATAATAAAAAAGTGATTAATAGTAATGGAGGAGATAAATAGTGTACCCATATTTGAGTAACATTATTCATCCTATTTTGGGGACAAAAATGGGGGAGGAACAAGAATGGGGCAAGGTTGGAGATGGCATGAGTGAAACAAAAAGAAAGAATTCTTCGTCAAAATCATGCCTTTCTAGAGCTCTAAAGGTGATTATTTTCGATTTATCTTCGTTCTTTTATATTGATTTATATCTATTTTTGACGTGCCGATCTATTTTCATTTCTAGGGTTTTGGTTTAGTTTATCTTCCCAGAGACCGTACGATATCTGTGATTTTTTAGAAGAAATTTAGAATGTGTTTCGTATTATTCAAAATTTTCATATGGTCTGATTACGAGGGGCGGAGGCACAAATTCTGTATATGAGATTCGACATGGAAAATCCGCTTAGGTTGATAATGTCATGCCTGCCCTAAATCTTAATATAGCTTCCTACGTTATTGACGCATGCAATTGGGTGTTTCCTTTTTTGTTCTTGGTATTTTGTTACAAAATTTCAATTCCCCTATTATCATTTACGGATTTCAATCCCTTCTTATTATAATGTTGTATGACCCTCTTGCCACTTCTTTACTGGTTGCTTCAGCCTGTCTTGTATAGGAAAAGAATACCCAGTGAAAAATGATCTTCCTGACGTCACTGTGGAAAGTGATATTTTTGATGTCACTGTGGAAAGTGATATTGTTGATCTCATTGTGAAAAATGATCATCTTGACCTCACATTTGAGAAATTGAGACAGTATACGGGTCAATTTTCTCCAGATAATCTTGTTGGAATCTCTCAATATGGTAAGCTCTACCGTTGGAAGATGCCTGTGTGTTTGAATCAAGAAGATGAAACTACCAAAGATGTGGCTGTCAAGATTCTGTTTGATCCTAGGGTTCTTCGAGACAATAAAGACCTAGTGAGATTTGAGGTTTGTGTCTCTATTATGTGTGTGTGCACAATCTCTTACCTACTGATTCTTTTCCTAGTTTATGCTTAGTATGGAAGATTGCTTGTATATGCTTGTAGGATGAACTTAAATTCTTGCAAGATCCAAGGATTAGGGGCAATCCGAACTTAGTGAAATTGATTGGATATTGTCCGAGAGGATAAAATTCTGGGGGTTGTTTACGATCTCAAACCACGTGACACCTTGTATAACTTTATCATTCAAGGTACCTCTCTACTCTCATATTTATATTTATTGATTTTTTACTATCAATCCAAGTCTTGGTGGATAGAGTTACCCGGTACCTGTGCTAGTAGAAGGTAGCAGGTACCCATTGGAATTAGTCGAGGTGTGCGCAAGCTGGCCCGGACAGTACGGTAATAAAAAATAATATTACATGTTCAACCTTGTCTCGAGTATCTTCTGCTGTTAAATGCATTTCCTTTTGCCATATCGAGGTTTATACTAGTGAGACCATTGAGTAAAAGATCTGTTGTCACTAGAAGGTGGAAATAGCTGTTATATGGGGAAGAGGCCTTAAAAAAGAGGGCTTGGGGGGGGGGAGGTAGACACATGTAGTAAATCCTTTTCTTAATCACGGTGACAGGCGAAAAAATTTATTCATGAAAAAAAGGAGGACGAGATGTGCAGACAATGTAATTACTTTTTCTAGTTTTCTTGTTCAGATGAGTTCAAATGGCTGGACAGAGTTAGGGCTGCACCTGCATTAGCTCGCTTGATGAATCTCTTGCATGGTCAGAAGTCACAATACCTGATTCGCAACATTAATCTAGCTCACATAGTGCTCGACAAGGTACGTTATTACAAATACGTTTTGTTGTTTCCACTGGGTATGTAAAGTTCCTGGCCGTGTGTTGACATTGTTATTTTGTGTTTGCACACAATATTTCATGAATGAGTAAAAATAGTGTCTGTTCTTTCTCTCCAGGATTTCAATCCCATCCTGTTTGAATTTGGTATGTTACTTGGAAGTAATTTGGATAAGACAGTCAGTCATCGTGAAGCTGGAACTTTTGGCTACATTGCTCCAGATGTTGCTCAATGTGGTACTAGTCCCTAAACCCAGTCATTGTTTCAATCAAATATAACAATTGTAAATTAGCGTTGTTTTCATTATATTTACATGTTGTTTTCATTATCTTGTGGAGGTGCCACTTGATTTTATCAATTTTAGAAGTTTGGTGTATTGAAAACATTTCTCATTAAACTTATTGGAGTTGTCGTCCTGCCAAGTTCCAAATTGACCCCTTGTTAATTTTTTGATGTATAAAGGTTGATACAATATCTTTGGAGGAAAATAGGCGAATAATTGTGTTTAAAATACATCATCCTTTCCACTCTTTTTTTCTGTCCTACCATTCTAAGCAAATTTATCCAAAAGTTTCTGAAACCAAGATGATGGTTTGTAGGAAACAACAGTTTGCGATAAGAACTTGCAGGGATTAAATGTGAAGCCCCATAGGAACTTGTAGGGATTAAATTCTAAGCAAGTCCAAGTAAAGCACCATGGAGTTTTTGATATCATTTCTAGTTTTCTTTTTCCCTTTAGAGTACGACTTTATTCTTCTTGTTTTTAGTGTGCTGCTTTACTTGGACTTGCGAAAAGAAATGGTACTTGTATCTTTCACAGCCCGTCCATTTTGTTGTTCTTTCTTTCGCTGAAGCATCTGTTCTTATGCGCTTTTCATGCTTGTAAAATATGTGCAGGTGCGTGGACTGTCAAATCTGATGTTTACTCATTTGGTATTTTGCTCTTAGATCTTATGAGCAAAAGAGTTATTGATGTGAAAAACACCGTAGCGACTGCAGTTGATTTGTGGGCCTTGAAAGAGTATAAGCCCTGCAGGCGAATCAGGTAGACACATGTAGGAAATCCTTTTCTTAATCACGGTGACAGGCGGAAAAATTTATTCATGAAAAAAAGGAGGACGAGATGTGCAGACAATGTAATTACTTTTTTTAGTTTTCTTGTTCAGATGAGTTCAAATGGCTGGACAGAGTTAGGGCTGCACCTGCATTAGCTCGCTTGGTGAATCTCTTGCATGGTCAGAAGTCACAATACCTGATTCACAACATTAATCCAGCTCACATAGTGCTCGACAAGGTACGTTATTACAAATACGTTTTGTTGTTTCCACTGGGTATGTAAAGTTCCCGGCCGTGTGTTGACATTGTTATTTTGTGTTTGCACACAATATTTCATGACTGAGTAAAAATAGTGTCTGTTCTTTCTCTCCAGGATTTCAATCCCATTCTGTTTGAATTTGGTATGTTACTTGGAAGTAATTTGGATAAGATTGTCAGTCATCGTGAAGCTGGAACTTTTGGCTACATTGCTCCAGATGTTGCTCAATGTGGTACTAGTCCCTAAACCCAGTCATTGTTTTAATCAAATATAACAGTTGTAAATTAGCGTTGTTTTCATTATATTTACATGTTATTTTCATTATCTTGTGGAGGTGCCACTTGATTTTATCAATTTTAGAAGTTTGGTGTATTGAAAACATTTCTCATTAAACTTATTGGAGTTGTCGTCCTGCCAAGTTCCAAATTGACCCCTTGTTAATTTTTTGATGTATAAAGGTTGACACAATATCTTTGGAGGAAAAGAGGCGAATAATTGTGTTTAAAATACATCATCCTTTCCACTCTTTTTTTCTGTCCTACCATTCTAAGCAAATTTATCCAAAAGTTTCTGAAACCAAGATGATGGTTTGTAGGAAACAACAGTTTGCGATAAGAACTTGCAGGGATTAAATGTGAAGCCCCATAGGAACTTGTAGGGATTAAATTCTAAGCAAGTCCAAGTAAAGCACCATGGAGTTTTTGAAACCATTTCTAGTTTTCTTTTTCCCGTTATAGTACGACTTTATTCTTCTTGTTTTTAGTGTGCTGCTTTACTTGGACTTGCGAAAAGAAATGGTGCTTGTATCTTTCACAGCCCGTCCATTTCGTTGTTCTTTCTTTCTTTCGTTGAAGCATCTGTTCTTATGCGCTTTTCATGCTTGTAAAATATGTGCAGGTGCGTGGACTGTCAAATCTGATGTTTACTCATTTGGTATTTTGCTCTTAGATCTTATGAGCAAAAGAGTTATTGATGTGAAAAACACTGTAGCGACTGCAGTTGAGTTGTGGGCCTTGAAAGAGTATAAGCCCTGCATGCGAATCAGGTAAACACATATAGGAAATCCTTTTCCTAATCATGGTGACAGGCGGAAAAATTTATTCATGAAAAAAAGGAGGACGAGATGTGCAGACAATGTAATTACTTTTTTTAGTTTTCTTGGTCAGATGAGTTCAAATGGCTGGATAGAGTTAGGGCTGCACCTGCATTAGCTCGCTTGGTGAATCTCTTGCATGGTCAGAAGTCACAATACCTGATTCACAACATTAATCCAGCTCACATAGTGCTCGACAAGGTACGTTATTACAAATACGTTTTGTTGTTTCCACTGGGTATGTAAAGTTCCTGGCCGTGTGTTGACATTGTTATTTTGTGTTTGCACACAATATTTCATGACTGAGTAAAAATAGTGTCTGTTCTTTCTCTCCATGATTTCAATCCCATCCTGTTTAAATTTGGTATGTTACTTGGAAGTAATTTGGATAAGACAGTCAGTCATCGTGAAGCTGGAACTTTTGGCTACATTGCTCCAGATGTTGCTCAATGTGGTACTAGTCCCTAAACTCAGTCATTGTTTTAATCAAATATAACAGTTGTAAATTAGCGTTGTTTTCATTATATTTACATGTTGTTTCATTATCTTGTGGAGGTGCCACTTGATTTTATCAATTTTAGAAGTTTGGCGTATTGAAAACATTTCTCATTAAACTTATTGGAGCTGTCGTCCTGCCAAGTTCCAAATTGACCCCTTGTTAATTTTTTGATGTATAAAGGTTGACACAATATCTTTGGAGGAAAAGAGGCGAATAATTGTGTTTAAAATACATCATCCTTTCCACTCTTTTTTTCTGTCCTACCATTCTAAGCAAATTTATCCAAAAGTTTCTGAAACCAAGATGATGGTTTGTAGGAAACAACAGTTTGCGATAAGAACTTGCAGGGATTAAATGTGAAGCCCCATAGGAATTTGTAGGGATTAAATTCTAAGCAAGTCCAAGTAAAGCACCATGGAGTTTTTGAAACCATTTCTAGTTTTCTTTTTCCCGTTATATTACGACTTTATTCTTCTTGTTTTTAGTGTGCTGCTTTACTTGGACTTGCGAAAAGAAATGGTGCTTGTATCTTTCACAGCCCGTCCATTTCGTTGTTCTTTCTTTCTTTCGCTGAAGCATCTGTTCTTATGCGCTTTTCATGCTTGTAAAATATGTGCAGGTGCGTGGACTGTCAAATCTGATGTTTACTCATTTGGTGTTTTGCTCTTAGATCTTATGAGCAAAAGAGTTATTGATGTGAAAAACACCGTAGCGACTGAAAGAGTACAAGCCTGGGTGTTCACTTGTGCACCAAAGTCTTGAGGATGATCCAGACTTTGATCCTCGTGATGGACCTAAAATGACAGATCTTGCAATGCAGTGTTTGGATGAAAAAGAAAAGAAGCGACCACTAATGAAAGAGGTTGTTAACCGTCTGGAGGCTTTACATGTTGTGCAACAGCATGCAGAGAGAAAATGAGTTCTTTCTTAAGATGTTAAATGTTAGACGTTAATATGATATATCAGGCTTCCCTTCCAATTAATGCCCAGTGATGCATGTACTAAGTGGATCAGTTAGATAGTAGGTTTACAGTGGATACTAATTTGACCCTTTCATTTTGATGGAAATGCTGGTAAACTTGTTTGCTGAAGCCAATGCAATGCGCTAGCCTTGTTACCAGCATACGATTGATAATAGGGCATTTAATCTCTCTTTTCAATAGATTTAGAATTCTATTGTCATGTCCACTTTGTGTGTTTCTTAACGTTTTTTTCCCACGTCTATGCTATCGGACGTTAACTGGAGCTAAATATACCCTTCTTTTGAAAATTCTTTGACTCGTTAATCCAACTCCTTCCTTTGACAAGACAAAATCTCACCATCCTATGTGAAAGTCCAAATTGTGTTTAGTCTTTTATGTAATGAAAAATCCCCTCCCCCCCGCTGCTCTTCTTAATTTGCGGCATCAAATCAAGGCTCACAAAGGAAGAAGAAGCTAGATTAAGCTCAAGGTATCCTACCATTTTTTCTTAAATCTCCAATAAAAAATGTGGCTGAACTCACCTCCCTTCCTGAGACACTTCCTTCAACAACTACCCACCCTACCTTTTAAGAGTGTGTGCGCGCCTATATATCTATTGATATTGAAGTGTAAATGGAGTAGTACATTATGGATATCCATATTATATTCATATTATCCATTGAATAACTCATTTTTTATCCGTTTTAAACATGGACCGGGTCGGATAATTTATCCATTTTTGCATTGTCCGTTTTCGATGGGCCCGTTTGCCACTTCTAAGCTTACCGTTCCAACTAGCCGCCCTTTTCCACCACCATGTGGAACCATTTCCTTCCTTCCTTCGTAACCATCTTAGCCATATCACCGTAACTAGGGGTATACAAAGAAATCGATAATCCGAATCAAATCGAAAAAAAATCGATATAGTTTGGTTTGATTTGATTTGGTATTGAAAAATAAAACCCGACCATAATTGATTTGGTTTGGTTTTAACTAAAAAAAAGTCAAACTGAAACCAAACCAACCCGATAGCATATTTATATATTTTAAAAAATATTTTATACATATAAATATTTATTGTAATGTAATTTATAAATATTTCTTAAACTTTTTCACAATTTTATCGTTTAACGTATTATATCAAGTTTAGACTTAACATTCTTGAATGTTGAATAATTTTTAAAGCTCATAAATGCAATAACTCAAACAAAATTCATATCAATACTAATGCTAACAAAAGAAATTCAATTGAATATTGAAAATGACGATAGTGTTGGATAATTATTTTAGTTTTACATTGGTTTATAATGAAAATGCATAACTTAGTTTATCTTTTCCTTTAGTGCTTAGTTATGTAATTAATATTAGTACTTATTAGCTATACTTATTTTAGCATGACCTATATAGTATTTTTAGATTATGTTAATTTTTATTATAGCATATTAATTAGTAATATTTTTTTATGTAATTTTATTATTTTATCTTGTTATTGAATATTTTAGTATAATGCTATGACATTGATTTGGCTTGACAACGCTAACGGCAACCATTCAAATATGATCACAGATCTATCAAGAGTTTAACCAAATCTTGACAGCATTTTGCGGACGCATTTACCTAATTCAAGATGAATGATTTTTTATAAGATCAATCCCCACCGCGAGAATCCCACGACATCCAGATTAGACACACTGGTGGTGAAATTTCACTTTAACTAGTCAATTATGGGTAAAGCATTTCTTTTTCTATTTTCACGTCATTATTGCATATTAAAAGGTCCACTTATTTTTGAGAATTATTTTGAAAATAAAAGGGAACAGTCTCAAATTTTTAATACTACAATTTATAAGTGATACGAATATCTTTAAGAATATGAAGTAGTATATACGGTAAGTAATTTTTTTATTTTATTTTTAATTTCTCAAATTTGATTTATCTAAGCTAGTTTTTGCTGCATATTATTCCCAAAAGACTTCTTTCTCTATTTGCCTTTGAAACTACAAGTATACATAATGTTTTTTAACACATCATATAGACTGGTACACTTCATTTTTTATGAATTTTCAACCACTAAAACTGGACCACGTTACTATTAAAGAAGATAAAGAAACCTTTTTCTATAGGACACCGTGAATTTAGACAGACTAGTAACGGTGCAAATTTCCACTTTTTACCCTTCAATAATGGCAAAGTTTTGTTTTACTATAATTATTAAATTAATTAATATTAATGACGTGGCAAGATGTGATAGGAGTAGTTTGCTGGGCGAATCTATCTATAGAACCGAAGCGGTGGGTGACCACAGTGGCGGAGGCAGGATATTTGCGAAGGGGGTTCAAAAATTTTAAAAGTCAAATACACAATGAAGCTAGCCAACCAAAACCAAAAAAAAAAAAAAATAGATGCTAACAGATTTTATTAATAGAAAGAGAAGTTCTCAACACAAAGATAGTGTTAAGATAAACATATCATAGTAACAAGACTTTCAAAAGAGAAAATACAAAAAACAAGTCTTGTATTAGTTACAAGGACCTAATGACTAATGAGATCAACAAAAAATAACTAAGTACATTATTACAACTGCACTCGACGGGGTTTCATATCTTGAAATGTTTTAATAATAGCATCATTAGAAATACTATCAAACACAATTTTTTCTACATAAGGCACCAAACAACCGCTAAAGAACTCATCATTCATTCGACTTCGTAAGTCATTCTTGATAAACTTCATCGCCGAAAAAGCTCTTTCAACGGATGNATTGCCTTTCAAATGAAGATTGAATAGACCGTTGTTGCCGCAAATCTTGGCATTTCTTTTTTGACTCATTGTGAATGCTACTCGATCCATGTTTATCAAAACTTTTCTTTTTATGCCAACTCTTAAACCCTATACTTGAAAATACATCACCTCCGCCTTGATGAATATTATTATCTTTAAATAGATAACAATACAAACAATAGGATGCATCTTTACTTACACTGTACTCCAACCAATCATGATATTCATCATCAAACCATTTAGGATTAAATCGACGCATTGATCCAGAAAAATTTGTTTTAGGAAAGTTATGAAGCCGAGGTTGACAAGGACATTGTAGAAGGTATTCTCTACTAATAATATCACGATGATTTGGATGGAAGTCCAAGATTTGAGTTCTTTCCCCCGGATCAAACTTTAAAGAATCCAAATCAAATTCATTAGAAGATGGTACTTCTAAATGGTTTATATTCTCCAACTGGATAGGTTGAGTATGAGAAGCCAAATTTGGTTTTGGTGCTTTGGTAAAATACCTCTTCACTGAATTTTGAGACTGAATTACAAAGTAGGAATGTAATTAGAACAAAATTACCTAACCATTTTATCAAACAACAAGTGTGAATCACTGTAAAAACAAAATTGCAGAAGGAAAGTGTTATAAATCATAAGTAATAACTTATAACTTATCTGCTGGTTGCCATACGGATTTCTAAGCTATGTTTCAATCCAATACTGAATCTAGAAAGACAGAAAGGTCATTTACATGTTAAGTTCACCATACACTAAAACCAAAAAAAAGGTTCACCATAAACTCTTTCTTTAATCTTCTTTTATCTTGTTTGAATATGTTAAAAAGACAGAGAGGTCGGTGACAGAACAAGATTCATTAACCTAAATTTAAGAATCAACAATAAAACATTAATAAATTCTGAAAAAGTTAGAAAGAACAAGTAATTTACCTGGGATGCCAATGCCATGATAGATGAAACGCCAGCGGCAGGGCGGCGACTGGCGAGGCAATGGAAATAATTGAGACGCGACTGGTGAGGCAGAAAGATCGAAGAAACAAAGAGCGAATGGCACCAACAAAGAGAGAGAGAGATTTAGGGATTTTTTAACCCAAAATCCCTAAATTAGAAAAAGAGAAGCAGTCACGTTTTTGGGGGAAACGGACTTAAAAGAGAAGACAAGAAACGACGTCGTTTAAAATTAAAAAAAGAAAAAAGTTCTGAAGTGAAAAGAATTAGATTGTGACTGACTGGAATTGAACCTGCGACCTGCTATAAAATCTGAACCCCCTTAACCACTAAGCCAAGCTTTTGCCTTGTGTCAAGGGGGTTCAACATATTATATCTATACGAAAATATTAAAAATTACCCTATATAAACAGTGTAATTTTCCGATGAATGGGGTTCGGATGAACACCCTTGCGCCCCCCTAGATCCACCCCTGACTATAATAATATATAACGTAAACACAAATTTTATACAAAATTTATATAATATGTTTTTTGTATATTTTGTATCTGATTTATACATAGTAAAAATAAATTTCATATAACTAATTATATATTATACAAAATATCTACAACTTATCTAAAATTTTCATACATTATTTCTACTCAGTTATATACAACTACAATATCATACAACTTAAATATAATTTTTATACAATATTGTTCAACTTTCATACAATATATATATGTCATGTCGTCTTCTTCTTCTTCTTCTTCTTCTTCTTCTTCTTCTTCTTCTTCTTCTTCTTCTTCTTCTTCTTCGAGTTTCAATCTGAAATTCATCCAAAATCAAATCTAATCTTCACCAAAACACCCTCAAAATTGAGATATAAACTCCAAATCATATTCTCAATTGTTTATAACATCACCCAATCCAAACAAATAATGATTTTTAAAAATCCAAATTCGAGTTAAAGCTTCAAAACTTTTAATGGCTGTCAGTGGTGGAATTGCTGCTCTCTTTTTATTTAATTTACATTAGTGAAATTAGGAATTGAGAGATAGAGAGACGTAGAGAGAATTTCAATTCTTTGCAACAACATCCAATTTAAACAAGTAATATTTTTGAAACCCCAGATTTGAATTCAAAGCTTCAAAGCTTTTTAATGGATGTCAATGATAGAATTGCTGCTCTCTTGTGCAAGATATGGGAGAGAGGGGAGGGTGGGGTGTGGAGAGAGAAACGTGGGTGGAGTGGGAGTGATTGTAGGAATTGATTAATTATCCTTAAATCCTAAATATGTACATAATTGGTAATTTTGTATATATGAAGTAATTAAAGTGAAACTTGAGTATGGAGTGTAATAAAGTTTCTAATAGTGTATAGGTATGTAAAAATCTCTTCTTAAAAAGATCCCGACCCAGATCACTTAAGGCCCATATAGTTCGTGAGCTAGGATCAGATTTATCAATTATTACGTTAAAATAGCACGGTATAGCCAGTTTTCGGA